TTGTATGGAGAAAATGGAAGAATACAAAAGTATCACGCAACGACTCGAGACGAAATTATCACGACTGGAAAATAGGATCAGTCAATTAGAGGTTGTGAATCGAGCGAAAGGAAAATAGTGTTGCGATGGGTCACACCGACGGTTTTGGCCGATCGAAATTAAGCCGCGGTCCAAAAGGTGACGGATTCTCACTGGATTCCGACGGAAATTATATCGTATCGAACAAACGGATTCGTCAAGTGCAAGATCCCGAAAGCGATGAGGATGCGGTGAACAAACAATGGTCCAAACGGAAGTGGAAGGAAGCCATGAAATTAGGTCAACACTGTCTGGAGCGTATCCACCAACTTCACCAATCTTACAATCGTCTGGTTAAAATAGTAGCATCGAAACAGCATTTGAATCGAGAGAGCGGACGACGACGACGTCGACGGTAATTATCATGTCGGCAGAAAAACGTGGGATCGTCGAGGAGCTACATAAACCTGCACGACGGAACTATCCTCGTCGTACAGTACGGATTCTCGGATTGTTCGATTTATGGCAAGCCGATCTCGTCGAGATGCAACCGTACGCCTCGGTCAACAAAGGATACAGATATCTCCTCACCGTCATCGACGCGTGCTCGAAAAAGGCTTGGGCCGAACCTCTCAAATCAAAAACGGCCACGGATGTCACTTATGCCATGCAACGCGTTCTCAAAACAGCCGGAAAGTCACCGAAACTTTTTAATTCATTAATTTATATCGATGAAGTTTCATACGATTATATGTGGCCAATGTGAATAAATATCGGGGGAAAATGTACGTAAACTGAGGGGGGGGGATAGTGATCGGAACTGCTTGATTTATAAATGCGGATGAAGAATTAAAAATAAAATGTTACGTGATCATGCGGAAAATAAAAAGTCGAGGATCGAACCCGGGACATCACTATCATGGAACCAGTACGTGTGCAGTAGGGCTCCGGGCTGCGCTGAAACCTTCAGGCCGATAAAGCGGTACAAGAGGCTGCTTCAGTGTTGCCAAGCGCCGCACGACCAAATCACACGCCGAAAACGCAACTTTTGGGAATTTTTTACGCCCTTCCTATTGCGCATTCGGGAAAACGGCTCAACTTAACCTCTAGAATTGGTCCATAGAGTCTGTAAAAAAAAAATTCAGCCCAATCGGAGGCAGCAGGTCCGTAAGTTCCCCTTGTGAGTGTAAACAATGCGACATCGTAGCTACCTGGTGGGGAGAGGGGGTTTCCTGGCCGAAGTGCTCGAGCAAGGTAAGGCGACGGCGACGCGGAGTGCCCATTTACCTCCGCCGCACAGAAAATAGTCCGGGTTCAATCGCGAATATCTCAGCTTCTACTCCTAAAAGTGAGCTAATTTTTTGGCTTTCCCTTAATTATGAACTTTATAACAATCTATTAAAGTTTCATCGATTTTCACCGAGAGCCGCTGAGCCCATGCTCTGTGCGGGGTTCTTTTCAAGATTGTCAGCGTCAATCCGACCGTTCCGATCACGTGCGATCTGAAAGACGCGCACGATACAATCATCAAAGGAAAATTCTACCGCGAAGAACTCCAACCCACCAACTATAAGGATACGTTCCTGGTGGAGAAAATTCTGCGTCGCAAGAAAAACCAGGTCTTTGTCAAATGGTTGGGTCTGGACGCGAGTCGCAACAGTTGGATCGACAGTAAGGATTTCGTATAAATAGTATGCATTCTCTTCACAGTATCGCAAAGAAGAAATCATGATCGATAAAATAATTCTCATCACTTTCATCATCGTAACCGTCGTTGGAGTGAATTCGACAACGGTGGCGGAAAACTCATCCGAAGCAAACATCACAATGTGCCCGGTCTATCCGGAAATCAAATGCGCACCCTCTACCTTGACGGACGTTCTTCTATTCATCTTGAGTTTACTGGCGCTTATTTGCTCCGCTCCGTATCCTGTACTACAAGTACCTATCATCCGACTGTAAGTTTCGTTTCATCAGGATGGCCCGTAAAAATAACAATCGGAAAGTCGATGACATAAGTGTTAATTTAAAGTTCGGAGAAGGAGAAGGGATCGATGTTTGTGGTTGACAACCCTCACGTTTTTTAAACGCGCACGTTTTCTGAACGCGTACGTTTTCTAAACGCGGACGTTTTCTAAACGCGCACGTTTCTCGAACGCGTGCGTTTCTCGAATGCGTGCGTTTTCTAAACGCGAACTGTTTTAAACTGTAACAGTAAATATCCACCAAAAGAAAAAATAATAAAAATTTTTGATTCATCAAACTGAATGGAAATTTCCGAATCAGACCCTAATCTCCAGTCTCCGATACCAGACCCATACTGTAAGATACGGTCTATCGATGCGAAAATTTTACAAGTCCGAAATCTCGAAAACAAAAACTCGTATCAAAATTCGATCCGTACAGTTTTCCGATCTTCGACAGTGTTAAAGAATCGCACCGGTCCGCGGCGGATCGGTGGAGGGTAATTTTCCGAAAATTTTTCAATATCCCGAATCAGACCCTACTGTTCAGTCTCCGATACCAGGCCCATACTGTAAGATAAGGTCTTTCGAAGCCGAAAATTTTTACAAGTCCGAAAATCCGAATTTTTTGCACAATCTGACAAAATTGTATCGAAAAATTAACTATTTTCTTGCATCATCTAGCAACACTGTACAATTCGATGTTGCCAAATTTTACCCATTAATAAATCATTTATTTAACTGCACCGTCCGGCAACGCTGTTGCATAACCGCCATCTTGAAGAATACACCATTGCGTAACTCGCATATTGAAGGGGCTACATTACACCATTGCATAACCCGCATATTGAAGGGGCAACATACAATCCTCTCTTTTTACAGCGTTGCCATATTGTACAATACCTGCCATACAACACTGTACTTTAATTTATATTTTTCTGCACCATCGTGCAACGCTGTTGGGTAATTTACTGCGGTGAAGTCGCCATTTTCATACTACTCATTGTTAGATGAATGAATAGGGCAAGTTTCAATGGTATCCGACACGAGCATGAAATGGCCCGTTTTGCACGTACCCCTTTGCAAAATTTAGTGTTGTCAGTTGATGAGCAAATGCAAGGATAAGCATGCAGGTATTAGACAAGTCCTATCATATTTGGCAACATTAAGTGGGCGGCGTGATTTACGACTTTTTTAGTTGTAAAACCGGAGTCAGGCTTGCCTCAGGACGCACAATAACAAATTTATTACACCCCAGTACCCTCCTCATTCTCGCTCTGTCTCGTTCCCACCTGCGCACAGGTCCTCCCTTTGTGCTTGCTTGGTCCTCTCCCGCTCATGTGGCGAAATCTTGGTAGACAAAATGGGGGTCTGCGGGTACTTCATCCCAGTGGAGAAAGGAAAACACAGGACATACATCAGGAAATTTTTGAACAATCGATACCCCAAGAACGCAAATTTTTATTGTTTTCAAGGTAAAATATTACCTTTTCATGCTAAGCCAATCACTTTTTGCTATTGAAGTCGAAAATTACCTGAGTTCTATTACAATCATTTCCAAGTTCTTATGGAAATCAAAGGAGGAGTGTCAGGTTGGGCCTTTTCCGGCCCCACCTGGATTTTGCTGAATGTTTCATATTTTCAAAGTACTAATCCGAGGTAGACGTTATGCCAAATATTTCACCGAACAAAGCCCATGCAAAGGTGCAACAACGCCTCAAACCCAGAATCTTGGCATCAAAAAATAGTTATTTTCGTCGACTTCTTCGACTGTTATCACTCTTTTAGCAGATGATTCCTATGTATTTGTATGATTAATCCAATTTTTGGCATTTTTGGCGCTTCAGGACGATTTTTCTCGAAAATTTGGCAACGTAGGGAAAAGTTTCAAATCACATTTTTATGTATTTTTTTACGTTCTTTCCGAAAATGTACACGGTTTTTTGATTAAATTAAGTTTCACACACGTAAACTTGAAAAAAACCCGTAAAAATTGGTGAAAATTGGCAACAATGGACCGTTAGGCCTTCTAAAATTCACAGGAAGCCATTTTTATGGCCAGATATGAAAAGTACGTAGAAAAATACCAATAGTACACACCCATAGAGGGTGACTGAAGTCGAAAAACATTCAAAAGAGCTACCTTCAAGTAAGAAAATGCTGCTAAAATCGACATCCCGGTCAATTTTCACATCGTGGGAATCCAGGTACAACTATAATTTTTTGATATATTGTATATGTAGGTAAGAGCTGTTACTTACGTCAATATAAAAGTCGTACCCCACTTTCTTGAACCTTAAGCGTGGCAATTTATCAAATTTTGGCCATTTTTGGCTCTTTGGGACGATTTTTATCGAAAATTTGGCAACGCAGAAAAAAGTTGTACTGAGCATTTTTTATTCATTTTTTTGCGTTCTCTTAAAAGCGTACATGGTTCTTAGTTTAAATTGATTTCTGCGTGTGTAAAATTGAAGAAAACCCCTAAAAATGGGCCATAAGGCCCCTTAAAATTTATTGGAGGCCTCTAGAAAGGCCAGAAACGGAAAGTACGCAAAAAAATACATAGGAATCATCCGCTAGAAGAGTGTTAACAGTCGAAAAAGTCGACGAAAATAACTATTTTTCGATGCCGAGATTCTGGGTTTGAGGCATTGTTGCACCTTTGCATGGGCTCCGTTCGGTGAAATATTTGGCATAAAGTCTACCTAGGACTAGTACTTGGAAAATATGAAACATTCAGGAAAATCCAGGTGGGGCGGGAAAAGGCCCAAAACGACACTCCTCCTTTTTTGAAAAGACGCATTTTGAATAATTCAAGTAGGCATTTCTTGGCGATAATGGCAAAAACCAAGGTCATTTTTTGCTTCATCAGCAAATAGTAAGTGGTGTCCGTCCCATCAGTCATCTGGGTTGATGGAACGCAGCGTAATGTCACCTAACATAGAATAAGGGAAATCTCTCTGTTTCAGTCCTTATCCCACTGTATTATTCTAAGGTTTTAATTTCTCTCCTTTGCAGGAACGAGATAGCCGTTGAACATTTGGCAACATTCAGCACCAACTGTGAGTCCGTTACATCTCTTCAGTATGCAATGAAAAATATTTGTGTGTGCATCGGATCTAGTAAAGAAACAGAATAAACTACTTGATTCGTAAGTTTCGTGTAGCAGACTGCCTCTGCAAAATAAATAGTTCCTTCTCTCTCACAGTCCGTTGCCTATAACTCAAAAATGGCAAAAACTCTGCACTTTTTGATCTAAGTATGCCGCTTTTAGGGCTCATTGGCGATGTCCACATGAGTGATTTCAGAGGGGGAAAAACTCTAAGACCCGCGACTGGAGCAAGATGGCGGCCTTTAAAGTCCATCATTTTCGTTTTTTTCAAAGCGCTGTCCCTTGATCGCTGTTGAGCCAATTTTGATCAACTTTCTTTCAACGAAAGGTATTTTCCAGGAGCGTACGTTTGTTCCTTACCAATTTTTTCTGTAAGACTCAAAGGTTTTTTTTTAAATTGGGAAAAGCTGAAAAATTTCAAGTTTTCGGAAATGATGAGGTCGAATAAGATTTTGACTGCTTTAAAATGGATATTTTTCCTCATCTGACGGAGACGTAGAATTGTCTGACCTTTAATTTGATACTGTAAGCATTTTTGTGAGATAATAAATTAACTCGTGAGAGCAACTTAAGTGTTGCACAACTCGTTTCAGCGCCCAAGATGGCCAACTGAACCGTTCTATGCATTATATTTCGGTCGCTGTGCAATCGATTTTGATCAAATTTTTTTTTCTACGCAAATACACACGAGGAGAATCAGCTCCTCAAATAGTTTTGGCGTCAACTACACAATTTTTCCAAATTTTTAAGAGAAAAATTTTTTCAAATGTTCGAAAATTTTGTAGATCGATAATGTTTTACAGGCAAATAATTATGAGTGTTCCGTTACTAAAAGTAAATGTAGACTTGTTTTAGGTATAATTTAATACCATAACAAAATTTGTATGGTGAGAAACTAACCCACAAGAGCAATCTAAGTGAAATGCGACGGTGCGTGTCACACAGCGCGTGATCCGTGTGGGGTCGTTGATGCCTTCCACTTCCCTGTCATTTGGTTACCACTAGATCCATTTCGATCAGTTCTTCCTATGAAGCTTGAAGAAACTGAAATCAAAGCTCTGCCTCATTGAACGGATTTGAAACACTTTACCTAAGCTGTTTAATTTGATACCATCATCACTCCTGCATGACCAAAATTAGACCTGTGACGAAATTTCATTTTATTCTTAAAGCTGACCGCATTAATATAGAACATCACAGTGGAACAAAAATAAATTACACAAATTTCCATGAGACGAGATAAAGTGATTCTCATGTATATTGAAGCCTGGAGTTTGAAAATTACCTCGATTTTTTTCAATCACCTCCTAATTTTCCCGGGAAATCGAGCAAAGCTAAAAAAATGTATAAAAATAAATTGCATGCATTATATAAATATGTCTAATTTGCTCGTTTTCCTGGAAAAAAGTGGCTTTCCCGAAAACTGAGAGGTGTTAGGTGGGTGTTTTCAACGAAGGTTCTAATTTCAGGTCCAACTTCCCCCCAAAATTGTATTATATATTTTGGGGTGAACCAAACTTAACCTTGACCCATATAAGATGTAAAATTAGGAACTATAGCATGGAAAGCTTAATAGTTATGTTAAAACCTGAAATTTGACCGTAAAATGTATCATTGCAAGAAATTTGCTCTAATTTTACCTGTGTTTCCGAATCTTTGTCTCAGAGGTGGTGTATACTACTTTTTATTTTAAATTGACGGAACTGTTCATAAGAGCGTCCTCGAGCACTAATTACAGCATACATAATTGAAAAAATTTAACCCTAATAAATCTTGCAGAAATGCTAAATACACAGGAAACCGTGTATTGCACCCCTACTAAAATTAATTTTCTTTTCCGAATACCTAGGTATTTCCAGTCCAGTTTCATTGAAATCGATTGATTCCTCACCAAGACGGCATTTTTAGCCGTGTCTGTCATCTTAGATTTTCGAATTTTGGCAATTTGACTGAAAATTCAAGTTTCCCATCAGGAAGTACATGTAGATGCCAAGTTTCACTTAAATCGATTGATCAGGTGCCAATATAGTATTTTAAGCCCTGTCCGCTATCTTGGCTTTTCGCATTTGGGACTGATAATTCGAGTTCCCCATCAAAAAGTACTCGTAGATGCCAAGTTTCACTTGAATCGATTGATTAGGTGCCAATATTGTATTTTAAGCCCCGTCCGCTATCTTGGCTTTTCCCATTTGGACATTTGACTGAAAATTCGAGTTTCCCATCAAAAAGTACTTGTAGATACCAAGTTTCACTTAAATTAATTGATTAGGTGCCGATATAGCATTTTAGGCCACATCCGCCATCTTGGATTTTCGAATTTTGGAAAATTCAAGTTCTCCATTAAAAAATACCATCAGACTCAAGATTTCACTTATATCTGTTGAATAGAGCACCTACAGGGCTTAGACAAGCAAGTCTCAATTTTACCAGTAAATGAGTTGTCAATTGTTGCCGAATGGAAACATAGGACCAAAAGGAACAGGAAAGAGTAGAAAGAAGTTGTTTTAGAAGCTTACCTTTAAAAGTAAAACCAATGTTGGTGTTTTTTTTCACGGAATTCGTAGTAGCACATCCTAGAGTATTGGAATAAGATAAGTTTTTCCAAAACTCACACTTTGAAAGTATTTTACGAGCTGATATTAGTGTGTGCGCGCGCATGAGGGTGAGGGTGTGTGGGTGTGTGTGAGTGTGGGTGTGTGTGTTTGTGTGTGTGTGTGTTAGGGTGTGTGTGAGTGTGGGTGTGTGTGGGTGTGTGTGTTTGTGTGTGTGTGTGTTAGGGTGTGTGTGTGTATGCTTGACGCCCTATTAGTTTCAGTGTATCACATTTTGTTTAGCATCCTGAATGGCGTGTATTATGCACAAAAATTTGCGATTTTCACTATTTTTGCCATCTTCAATGTGTGAACTAGTCAATTGAAACAGAAAAGGTCGTATTTGGAAAAATTTCAACGTTATGGTAATTATTTAGAGCTTGTTACATCGTTGTCATGTCTCTCCTGACTGTTATGGACTGTTGCTGGCCATAATGATTCTAGCAAAAAATTATCGATGAAGTAACAAAAATTAAACCTATTTTTTCCTCCAATCTAAAGGTATTACCTTCCATTTCCAATGAAGTTTTCCCAAGTAATCACTCTAGTTGTGCTGCAATATCTGTTTAAAGTCCAGAATCAGGTATGGGAGACACGCAAATTTGAGATAAATTAGGGTAATTTGCACATTGAATATTCTGTCAGAGTCTACAAGAACATCGTTTGGCTGGTGTCAACGTTTGCCGTAGAGACTAAAGCTGGAACAAAGCGCATCAAACAACAACTTCGCATTGTTGAGATGAAAGTCCTAAGAAAGATTGCGAGTTTTACACTTTGCGATTGGCAAACCAGTGAGTCCATCAGGAATGCTCTTGGGGTGCAAGACGTAGCTGAGTGGACCAGTGTGAGGAGAAGGATGTGGTTGGAGCAAGTTGACCGAATGGTTGAAGAGGGACTAGCGAAAATATCTATGATAGGACAACCCTTAGGGAAAAGATTACCTGGACGACCGCCCAAAAGATGGGCTTAAAGCTGGCTCTTTTCTCCTGAGGACGATTGAAGATTTTATGCTGTTTTTATTGATTTGAAGAGTCCTTTATTTGTAGTGATTTCTAGATTTTTAATATTTATATAGTTTGTGCTCGATACTGGATGACCTGACAAATAGGACTATGCCCTAGTCGTCCAGGGAAGAAGAAGGAGAAGAAGATGATGAAGAAGAAGAATATTCTGCTTAATTTTTATTTCAGTCGTAATAATGTAGAAAATAGTGTGTGTTAGTCGGCACTAGTATAGTGAATGAGAGAAATATGTGATTTAACCATTGTTGTCATATCATAGCAATGACAACAACTGGGGACACTCAATTAGGAAAGCATTCAGGTAGGTATCCTGAGGGCACCACCAATGAGTCTTGAAAGCGGCATATTCCAAGCAAAAAGTGCAGTGTTTTTTTGTGTAGAGAATGGACTATTAAATGGATTGACTTAAGTATTACTGTTCAAGGTCCGAGGGATCACCTGTGTTCCCAAAATTCCATTACGAAGAACACATGAATTTACTGTCCCTGAAGTACCAAAAATGTCACTTTAATTGTTTACAAAAAGTTTTCATTATCAATAAAGAATTAAACTTGTTCAACTCATAAGTATTTCCAATTTCATGGAGAAAAAAGAGCCATCATTGAAGGAGGGAGAAGTTTCTCCACTTCTTGCAGTCCTACTCTGGGCTCCAAATCTTCCCTATATTTGCATGACTGGCCAACTTATCATCAGCAGTCATTCAAATTAGACTTTGGGGATTACTTCTACAGGGCGTGAAAAAAGTATGGGTACTTTTTAATTTATTAAAACCAGTTAAGAATATCGACTCGCAGTTTGAAAAGAACTTCCCCAAGTGAATTCAGGGTCAACTTTTTATGGGGGCAGTAAGCCCCTGTCTTTCAGGGTCGGCAGTGGGAGCAACTTACAAATTTGAAATGGGAGCCCTCTTTGTAAAATCCCTCGTTGGAAAAAGCATAAAGACTATTTTTGGCGAAAACTGTAGATTGCTCTTCACTACTATTTTAGAGTAGTGGCTGGTTAAAGTTTAAAATGCAGAAAATTGCTATCTTGGTTCTTTACCAATGAATCAGGATGTTTACTACCAGCAGGACACACCTTAAATTATAACTATCACTGTAGGTGGGACTATTGTTTTCCTGAATTATGGGTTTATATCATCAATCATTTCCAAAAGGCAAAGGTCTGTGCAAAAATTATCGTTCAGACAGATGTGTGATCAAAATGTTTGTGTTGTAAGATGATAATGCCAGGAGTAAGGTGGAACCCTCTGCTGTCTCTGTTTAGTCCATCTGCTGTCGAAAAAAGGTCAGATCTTTCTCTGTTTTAGTTCGTTTGAGAAGAATAATGCAAATTGTGAGGAATGAAAGAAGTACTATTACGAGTCCAAGTAGAGTATACATAACACTGCGATATGGTTGATCTGAAAAATTAATGAAGAACTTTCGTCAAAATTTTTCATGCGAATTTGAAGCTTTAAAATTATACTAACGGAATGGATATCACTCCCATCTCCAAGAAAAGATTTCTTAAACAAAAACCGTGATCGAGTCAGAGTTGACAGGAATTTCCCCCGATTTTTTTGAACAATATTAACCCACGAAAAACGAGCTCAAAGTTGTCTATTTTGAGCTCCCATTTAAACGCGCGTGGGCGGGTCACTGAAAAAGGCCGCCGTGAGCGCCTGACGGAGAATGGCCACACTCGGCGACTTACCTATGCTGCGTCCTATATAGTCCGCACCCGATCCGGCGCGATGTCCAATAGTCCTAGTGTGGGCATACTCTCTGGGCAGAGGTAAGTCGCCGAGTGTGGTCATTCTCCGTCAGGCGCTCACGGCGGCCATTTTCAGTGACCCGCCGACGCGCGTTTAGATGGGAGCTCAAAATACGCAACTTGAGGCTCACTATTTAAGAGTTGATATTGTTGAAAAAAATCGAGGAAAATTACATTGAATTCTCTGCACTCTCTATTTTTTTTTTTTTTAAATGCAGGAATTAAACATTGATAAACATGCTCATTATACCTCTAGATTTCGCTTGCTTTCAGCTTTAATTTAAGACAAAGTGTTTTTAATCCGAACCATTGGGGTGCTCTGGCTGGAGGTTAATTTTACCGCCGCCACCGCCGTCGTCGGTGCGTCACCTGCCACATCCAAGCACGTTATAACTGTGGTAGCCAAGAACAGTTTTTGTAAGTTTTGGCGTAGGAATATGATTATTGGCAAAAAGCCAACAAATTTCTTGAGATTAATTCTCTACCTGATCACGAAGTCAAGCACTTCACAAGCCGCGTCACGAGTTTGGGGGAGTCCGCATCGGAAAACTCTCTTGACTTCCATGCTTCCTTCGCGAATGGCCCAACTCCCTTCACACCGTCAGCAGCCATCATATTTTCCCTGATAACTGTTTTTAGCGTGCGATGAATGTCACATGACCTAACACCCTTTAAAGCAAAAAATCTAATTATCGACCGTACTTCACAGTCCGCTGGCTTTGAAGCAGTCGTAACTTTACAACGCACTCTACTCACGTCTAAATAGCATTATGCACATGCACACATCTTTCAAAGGAAAATTTAGCCCATTTATCACCACAAACATTACAGACAGCATGGTGAACAGGTAGGTAAACTAGGATGGCCCAATTATACACGGCAAAATTTATTTTGCGATTTTTTTTTTGGTCTTACCCGCTGGAACAGGTCCATTTGATCAAAAAACACTTTCTGCTGAGTTACAGCCAAATCGGATTATATTAACCCGTGCCGACAAAGCCATCTTCTTTTTACGGGATTTTACGTTGAAAAACACTTTTTTGAGAAAAATCCATTTCCCAGAAAATGTGTAATTTCTAGAAAAAATTTGAGGTCATATTTGGCTTTAGCAGAAAAAATTGAGCGGGGTAACTTGTATTGGACACCTCCAAAAAATTTTTACCCCTCGTTATAGCGGTGAAACAACTGTAATATCTAGATAACGCTAACAAAGGGTAAAATGAGGGTGATGAATCTCAAATAATTACATAGGTCTGCATCTGAAAACAAAACTCAACATATCGATGGTGAAAGTGCATAAGTGCTTATCTCGATTTTTGACAGTTTTGAGTTAGCTGCATAAACGTGTTGTTGAAGATGTCGTCTATCTGCCAGCAGGAGATTATAATTGAAAAAATCCGGAAGTCACCTAAAACCGTAGAACTTTTTTCGCGTATTTCGGGCTTAAGTGCAAAAATGCGTATCTCGTTCTGGCTCTTTCATTTGATCCGGCGCGCCTTACGCACAACGCGTGCCCCTCAGCGTTTTCCGCCAACAGCGTACATCAGCTGTTCTGTGTTTTCATTTATTTTTAGGAATTCGCTAGTTTTGAAATGTTGATAAATGCTTATCACTCGAGGGCCCTCCAGTATCATTTCTGCGATGGTTCCTATTACTAGCGTTGCGCGGCGCTCATGTCCATCATTTTCTGGGCCAATGCAATCATGAACTGACAGTTCATCACAACGGTCAGTTGTAATAGAGTCAATCGAGTCATGCAATGCTTCATCTACCGTGTTGGATCAACTTAAGCTAATAAACAAGTTTTAAGTATGAATAAACTCAATTTTTGATCTTAATGATCAAGAGCAGGTTCAAAATGCTAATTGCAGAAATGGGTATCTCGTATCAAATGTCATTTCCCAATCATGCAATGTTTGATCCGGCCGTATGAGATCAAACTAAAGCTTCTGCCAAGAAATTGTAAGCGTGTAACCCTTTTTTCGGTCTTCAAATGATCAAAATCCGCCAACAACAGGTTTAAAACACTAATTGCAAAAATGCGTAAGTAGGTATTTCGCGATAAAGTATCAATAAGTCAGTTAAGCTCGGGAGGGATTTGTCTGCTAATAGTCGAATCTTACTGTTTTCGGTACGAGAAGAACGATGCGCATGTTAAAATTTCACGAAAAATGATATAACGCTTCTTTTTGAAGGGTCCTCGAAAACGTGTTTGAACCGACCGCCGTGAATCTTCGAATCTATACGCGTCATAGACGGGAAGATGGCGGCGCCGAAGCCGACCTGCTCACTACCGCCACGCTGCCTATGTTGACATCACGATTTCTCGTTTGAGGTTAAGTAAGTTCTGTGTGAATGTTTCATATCCTACATACATCTGTATCGCATTCTGATTGAAAAGCTTAGAGAATTAAGAACAATGGATATGAATCTCTAACAAAGTAACCGACATAACCTCCAATTGACCAACAAGAACATACTGCCAACGCGTCGCCGCCGTGTATTCTTCCACTACGCATTCCGCCGCCATAATGATCGTGACGTGTACATGCGAAACCTACCAGCGCGCAGTTCAAACGCCGTTTTAGGCCACCCTAATTTTTGGCACTTTCGAATAAACTTTTCTCCCGTTTACAGTCATCAAAAAAATTTAGGAAAAAAACTCTAAGCTTCGGTCACTTACTACTTTCGAATGACACAATATAAAAAATGACTTAACTGACTCATTCTTGGTGTCGAAAATGCGAATCTCGGCATTCTTGCCGTATTTTTTAACTTTTTTTATATTTACAGTACGAGAAATTATTCAAAATGTTAATCGCGTCTAAAGAAGCATGTTATTCTTGCTATCCTCAAGAATTATTACCCTTCTACTGACATTAAGGAGGAATGTATAAAGTTTTTTACTCTCCTGGAAAATCGTGTTTTCCGAAATACGCACTTCTGCACTTTCACCATCGATACGGTACGTGTTTTACATATATGTACTTATTTACGCTGAGTCCGAAAATGCTACCCATTTTTCTCTATTCCATCAGGATTTTCCGAAAAATCGATTTTCCTTTAAAACAGAAGGTTTTCTAGGGAAGACTCAACTTTCAGGAAATAAATCTCAATATGTGACGGATGTTTTTGATCTGCACTTTCACATTGAATCCGAAAATGCTATCCATTTTTCTCTATTCCGTCAGGATAAAAAAAATTCAGGAGGAAATCGATTTTCTTATAAAACAGAAAGTTTTCTGGGGAAGACTCAATTTTCCAGAAAATAACCTTAAGTTGTGACGGATGTTTTCTCTGTGTTTTTCAAGTCCGAAAGTCCGCTGAGTCCGAAAATGATGACAAAGTTGCTCTATCACACTGGGATTTTCCGGAAAATTGATTTTATCGTAAAAACAGGGTTTTCCAGGGAAATCTCAATTTTTAGGAAATGAACCATCGACTTCAATAGACGTTTTTGATGTGTTTATTAACGTTGAATTCGAAAATGATAACCGTTTCCCTCTATTTCATTAGGAGTTTTTATAGCATTAAAATTTTCCTGTAAAAAAGAGGATTTTTCAGGGAAAACTCGGTGCCCTGGAAAACTTGTAAATTTCGAGGACAATTGAAGTCATTTCTTTACTCAGCGGCCGAACGTCTGAAGAAGTATGGAAGCTAGTCATTTTCTGCACTTTCCTGGTACATTGATTTTAAGTAAAAAAAGTCCTGATGGCGAATTTTGTAGACTCAGCCGTTTTGCTACCTACTGTAGAGGTCTCTGTCTAGCGAGATGCAAGCGTGGCGCCCCGACGTCCTCAGGGTGTTTTGGCTGGAGCTGCATCGGATTTTTAAGAAACACATCAAAAACATCTATTATAGTCGATCGTTTATTTCCTAAATGTAGAGTTTTCCCCGGAAAACTGTGTTTTTAAGAGAAAATCAATTTTCCGGAAAATCCCAAGTAATGGAGCAACTTTGTCATCATTTTCGGACTCAGTGCTGAAAAACACAAGAATAACATCAGTCACATATTCAGATTATTTTCCTGAAAATTGAGTCTTCCCCAGAAAACCATCTGTTTTATAAGAAAATCGATTTTCCGAAAAATCCTGATTGAATAGAGAAAAATGGATAGCATTTTCGGATTCAACGTGGAAGTGCACACCAAAAACATCCGTTACATGTTGAGGTTTATTTCCTGAACGTTGAGTCTTCCCTGGAAAACCTACTGTTTTACAAGGAAAATCGATTTTTCGGAAAATCCTGATGGAATAGAGAAAAATGGGTAGCATTTTTGGACTCAGCGTATAAAAGTTCATGTGAAACACCTACCATAAGTTGAGTTTTGTTTTCGCATGCAGACCTATGTAATTATTTGAGATTTATCACCATCATTTTACCCTAGATTAGCGTTTTCCAGATATTTCAGTTGTTTCACCACTAAAACGAGGGGTAAAAAAATTTTTTTGAGGTGTCCATTACAAGTGTCCCCACTCAATTTCTCCTGCTAAAGCAGAATATGACCTCAAATTTTTTCTAGAAATTACACATTTTCTGGGAAATGGATTTTTCTCAAAAAAGTGTTTTTCAACGTAAAATCTCGTCTAGAAAAGGTGGCTCTGTCGGCACGGGTTGATATTATCCGATTTGGCTGAAACTTTGCAAAGAGTGTTTTTTGATCAAATGGATCAGTTTTAGGGGGTAAGACCAAAAAAAATCCGACATTGCCAAAGCGCCACGCCAAGGTAAACAACCTGATGGAAAATTTTGATGAAACTTTCAATTTAATCAGACTATTCAACGATTATCTGTGCGGCCGTTCACACATCTTTCTTATAGTGATTATCGCGCGCCGGATGGTGGCAGGAGACGTATCTGCGGCGTCGCGGGAGAATTCACCTCCTGAGCGCCCCAATGGTCCCATTTTAAAGAACTTGATCTTTAATTAAAGCCAAAAGTATGCGTAATCCGATGATATAATGCAATTTTTTCTATCTTTAATGCTTTTTGAATGAGAGGAAAATGCATAATCTTTTTGGAATAACCCTCATATCCACAGAATTTTATGCATTCATTTCATCAATTTTTATCATTCTTTGTATCCTGCTAGTACAAATATGTGTCAACAGTTTTAAACAAAACTTAAAATTTAAGGAAGCTCCCAATTTTTCAACAATTTCTAATGTCATGAGGCCAAGTATTATACGTACATTGAGGAGTTATTATGAGTCAAAATGTTTGGGAAATCTTACTTACTGAGAAATCGTCTGGAATCAGATGACCTCATAGAAGAATTATAGAAAATCATTCAACCTTCTCATCATTTCCCATTTTTATACCTATAATTTTCATCCCACCACCTCAGAAGAAAAATTAGTGTATACTCGTGAGGAGTTACTCACCCAGTCACAGTATAACCTCATTTGACTTTTCTATTTGCAGTCAGTATTAAGATAACACATTCTTAACGAGAAGATGTTTCACTGCTCGTCTGCTAGTCAGAGTGTTTGAGAAGGTATAGCGTGCACCAAAATCTTATTTTTATAAACCAACACCTGAATTGCGTCAGCTGATTGTCCATCTAAGTATTTTACCAAGTTTCAAAACCCACAGTAAAAGAGCCTCCCAAAAAAAGGGCCTTTTTTGGCCCCTTTTCTGAAACTCGGGGATTTCATTCAAATGTAGCCTAAACGAAACCATATGATGACCTAAGACCCCAGTAAAAATTTTAGCTTGAGTATACATCTCGTTTCGGAGATACAGCGTTGCAAAGTTTGCATATTTAAGCTTTAAAAACCCTCATATTTTCAAATATTATTTTCCTAAAACCAACATTAGAGTGAACTTTACAATCTAAAACAAAGCGTAAAAGAAGCATAATGATAAAAAAAGCCTCCATTAAAAGTTTTAGCTCATGCATGACCCCTGTTTTGGTAGTGCAACGTTGCAAGTTTACCTTTCTGAGCTTTAAAAATGCCCATATTTCTAAGTTTCTTGTTTAAAAACCAATTTTAGTGAATATCAAACTGCATTTTGAGGGATAAAATTAACCCCAAGTGGTACTCGTGGATGCATAGTTGCATTGATAAAAGGTTACAATGATTTAAAGTAACACAGCATTGCACAGTTTACATCATAAATCTCTGAAATTGTATTTTCTCTTGTTTTCTTATTAGAGACAACTTCGATCAAACATGTTTCGATATTGTAAAGCAAAATACAAGGACTCTAGGTAGTTCTAAGTGACAGTTGGTGTAAGAAATGACACTGTTGCCTATTTTTCCTTTTTTTCTCTCAGCGTTTAATCATAAAATAATATTAAAATTAGGATACTTCCAATAATTATCTAATTTCGAAATAAAATTCAAGAGACTTTGCCATGCTCGATGAAATACTCAGCATCAGCGTTGCTTTCAAAATCCAATGAATCATGCCTCGCCATAGTTGCCAATTTGACCTGTTTTTAAGTAAAATGAAAAAATAAACAAAGAATACGGAATTTGTCGAGTTTTTTAAGTTCAAATAAATCTTGATCTAGAGAATACATTTATTATGCCTTGCAAAATAGAGTGCCCCCACTGTTTTTAAAAAGAAATTTAAAAAATTAATAATATTGAAAAAAAAAATTTAAAAAAATTAAAAATATTGAAAAAAAAAATTTAAAAAAATAAAAATATTGAAAAAAAAATTTTAAAAAATTAAAAATATTGAAAAAAATTAAAAAAATTAAAAATATTGAAAAAAAATTAAAAAATTAAAATAAAATAAAATAAAAATTAAAAAGTAAAATAAAATAAAAAAACAAAATTAAGTATCAATTATTGGAGACATGTTTATTTTAAAGTAATTTTATTATTTATCGTTTGAGAAGAAGTCTTAATAAACTTAGCAATAGTACTTTTGCGAATACCAATCTTCACTTGGAACTAACATCAGCCCTTGACATTTTTCCTTGATATGAGGTATGACACCCATTGATGTTCTCTTGAACTAGCATAAATAATAACTTCGAGAGTTTAAAGTTGTTAGCTTGGCAAGGCTGTATCGCCACCAATCAAATTATCCCTGTTGAAATACAAACATAGAGCTACAAATTACACATTTGGTAGATTTTATGCTTCAAATTCTAAAGAAGATCTACGAAAGTCGCTTTTTGAACGCGGAACTTAGAAATATTAAATTTTATTAAAAGGAAAAATTGCTATTAAAAGGAATTTTTTAACTTTTTTTATTACATTTTTAAAGCTCAAATGTATAAACTTAGCAACGCTGTATCATTAAATCTGTACTTACGCTCGCAGTGAGGCCTATACTGAATACTTCTCATACTATAAAATTACATCTAAACACCATCCACAGATCTTTTGGTGATCAATAAGTTCGTTTTTTCATTCAGAAACTTACAAAAATGAGCAATTTTTATAGGTCTTTGTTGTCAACTTTGCAACGTTGTATCAAGAGAATCAGCAGTATTACCGTATCAATAGGAATATGGATTTAAAGATAAGACTGACTGTAGGTAAAATGTCACAAAATAACATATTATACCGGATGGAGTTGTTCTTTAAAGTAAGATATTTGAAAATATGCGAACTTTTAAAGCTTAAATATGCAAACTTTGCAACGCTGTACATTGGAAACCAGACGCATACTCAAGCTAAAATTTATACCGGAGGCTTGTCTTATCATAAGGTTTCATTTAAGCCGCATATGAATGAAATCCCCGAGTTTCATAAAAGGGGCCACTTTTTGGGAGGCTCTTTCATTTTTAAATGTTTTTTCTTCGGTCCCTGCACTATGCGCCGGCTGTTCCTGTAGTGCAAAGGTAGTTGGTGCATCGAGTTATTCCAACCATAACATTTAAGCTCAAATACTAACCAGCTTGAAGTGATAGCCTCGTAATTATGGACTCACACTTTGATAATTCTACATGCGTGCTGCTGTTGTAAAATTTCGGTAAAAAATCATTCCACAAACTTATTCGGCGCGCATTCGAGTATTTTAGCACTCCCTCCTCAAAGTTTGTAATGCGTGGTGATACTTCTCCTCTTTTGAGTTGAAAAAAGTCTGGCGATTGAAAGATAAAATGGTGTGTCGCTTTCTTATGATGAAACTCCCAATTCATACTTCCGGCATTGTGATTATTGTGATGGATGAATCTAAAAAACAGAATTCCATTTTGTATTGGGTAAAGACTTAAGGACGTGTAATTGTCACAACCATTATTGAAATAATTCAGTTAAGTTAAGTTAGGTAGAACCACGCAGTGTTATGTAAACCACTTTCTCTCTAAGCTAGCCACAAACTGCGAAGTCTTACCATGGCAATCATTGTTATTGAATAGAAAAATAATTTTTAAGTATGAGCAGAAAATATCCTTAGCCACTATCGTCTACCACAACAGCTGAGGGAACAGCAAGATATATTTCTTGAAGCTACAGCATATCTTTTCTGTCAAAAGTCCAATTTTTGAGAAAACCAGACCTCTGAGACCATTAGAATCCCCATCAATTTTACTTGAAAAAATCATGGCAAACTTCATCAAAATAAGCTTTACAATCAATAAGATTAGATTTTAATGATTGACTCTTCATCTCCTGATTTGAGTCCATGTCTTTTTTTTTTGCATTTTCATCTTAAGGACTATCTGAACTTGTATTTTTTATTTTATTTTACTTTTTTGGTATGTATGACCTTAAATGCCGCTTTATGTTCCGTTGCACCTCCTATTATAGTTACTCATCAAATAATTATTCTTAATTTCCCTCTGGGGTTCCGTGATGACAAACATCTCAGCGGGTCTCATGACAAAATCGCCGAGCTCACGGTCCAGGTTATTCAAAAAATATTTTGTGGTCTGTTGATGCCCAAAAGTCTTGAATTTGATGAGAGGTGCAGAAAATGTGTGCGCTTCTTATTATTGCTGCAGAGTGGTTTGAATTCCTGCAATGTGCGCCCTCTAGGCAAACAGATTCCAAATATGCTCCAAGGATTCCACATAACTTTTCCCTTCACTCTTATAAACATCGCATACATCACACTAAATGGTCTTCCAATATGTTGGATTGCTCCCATTTAGGTTAGTCATTGAAGCAGAAATGATACAGTAAAACTTCGATATAACGAACGTCGATTTAACGAATTCTTCAAATGATCGAATTTTTTTCACAGTCCCGGAAAAATCCCTATCTATTCAATGTAAAAGAAATTCTACATAACGAATATTCGCTTTTACGAAGGAAATCTTCGGTCCGAGTACGAACTGTACCGTGTAAATCGAACTCGATTTAACGAATATACGGGAATTTTCGCGCGCCCGGCAACACCGCTGGGGAGGTAGCATGCTTGTCTTCACCTGCGTATTGTATGTACGTCGGTGTCGGTGCAAAGGTTATTTTCCAATCCGGCGGGATTGGGAATTTCCGAGGCGGATATGTTTCCTCGAGTAAATGGGGTGATTATATGTATTAGAAGGAGCTAACAGGAACAAACTGGGGAGCCGAGCCACACGTTCTGCGTACGACAGTCCTTGCACTTAGCATCTCTGCTGCAGAATATGCTGCGCCTGTTTGGAGAAATTCAAGCCATGCAAAGCATGTGGATGCAGCAGTTAATGAAGCCGCGCGTATCATATCCGGCTGCCTGAAACCAACTCCCATCGACAAAGTCTACCCACGGATTGGAGTAGCATCACCAGCCATCAGAAGAGACGTAGCAGCCAAGATCGAAAGGAAAAAACAGGCTCTAGATGATCGACACCCTATGTCTCAACACCAAGTGCAACCGTCAAGACTAAAGTTCCGTAAAAGCTTCATACAAACAACTCGATGGTGAAAGTGCAGAAGTGCGTATCTCGATTTTTGACACTTTTGAGTTAGCTGCATAAACGTTTAGTTGAAGATGTCGTCTATCAGCCAGCAAGAGATTATAATCGAAAAAAATCGGGAAGTCACCTAAAACCGTAGAACTTTTTTCGCGTACCTCGGGCTTAAGTGCAGGAATGCGTATCTCGTTCAGGCATGTTCATTTTTCGGCGCGCCTTACGCACAACCAATAACAACGCGCGCTCCTCAGCAGCGTTTCCCGCCAACACCGCACATCAGCTGATCAGCTGTTCTGTGTTTGTTTTCAATGGTTTTCATTTATCTATCTAAAAGAAAAGTGGATGTTGATAAATGTGGATAATCAGGCAGTCCAGCACGCATACTATCAGTGAATGCTGGTGATAGACCGATAGACGAGGCAGGGGGGCGATTAGGTACTGTTACTTGTCATTAATGTTGCATACACTTGTAATTGAAGGCGGATTATCACTCGAGGATCCTCCAGTATCATTTTTTCATTGTATTATATCTACTACCTACTAGCAGCGCGCGGCGTTCATGTCCATTTCTACTCTCTGGGCCAATGCAATCATGAACTGATCGAACTGACGGTTCATCACAACGGTCAGTTTTATTAGAGTCAATCCGGTCAAACAATGCATCATTTAGTGTATTGGATCGACTAAAGCTTCTAAATAAGTTTTAAGGTTGAATAAATTCTATTTTTGATCTTAATGATCAGGAGTAGCTTCAAAACGCTAATTGCAGAAATGCGTATCTCGTACTCTAATGTCAGTTTCCGATCATACAATGCTTGATCCGGCCGTATGAGGTCAAATTAAAGCTTTTAATAAAGAATTGTGAGCATAAAACCCTTTTTTCAGTTTGTAAATTATCAAAATCCGCCAACAATAGGTTTAAAACACTAATTGCAGAAATGCGTATCTCGTGATAAAGTGTCAATTCTTAGTGCCGAAAACGCGAATCTCGGCATTTCGGCCGTATTTTCTAACAGCGCGATAGAAATTATTCAAAATATTGATGAAGTCTGAAAAAGCATCTTATTCTTGCTATCCTCAAGAATTATCACCCTTCTACTGACAATAAGGAGGAATGTAGAGTGTTTTTTTACTCTCCTGAAAAATCGTGTTTTCCGAGATACGCACTTCTGCACTTTCACCATCGAACTGCTCAGCTCGCAACCACTCCCACTGAACGTCGAATAGAATTGTGGATGCAGAAAACCCCAAACCCCATCGTAGAATTGAGAGCAGAAGGATCCGCAGGTTTCCATTTGCCGTTTGGCACAAGGAAGAATCTGAACAGACTACGGACAGAAACAACCTGCTGTAAATCGAACATGGTGAAATGGGGATATAGCACCGACGACAGATGTGAATGTGGAGAGATTTTGAACATCTTCTAGGATGTCCTCGAATGAAATCGGTCTGCACTAGGGATGACCTAGTTTTAGCAAATGACGCTGCAACTAATGTTGCTAATCACTGGAGCTCCCAGATTTAATTTTTTTTTTTTTTTTTTTTTTTTTTTTTTTTTTTTTTTTTTTTTTTTTTTTTTTTTTTTAAATACATTTTATAACAAGGCTTTAAATACATTGAAGAAGAGGAGCTACGTGAACAGCGTCATCAGTACGATTTCAACCCCTGCCGTGTGCTCATCACTACCGCTGCGCAGTTTTACTGATCAAACGCTAACCGGGTGTTTCCCGCCGATTTTCCGTAAAATATCGTCATAGTTTAAGAGGGAGGGGGGGGGGGGGGTGTACACGAAACTGGAAAAACCGAACATCTCAAAATATTTTGTGGCCTAATATCGGGTTTTCCGCGGTTTTCGATTTAACAAATTTTTGCCAGTCCCCAGAAATTCGTTCTATCGAAGTTTTACTGTATCTGCGACTCTCTCTTCTGACACTAATTCAACTCTGTTTTCTGATTCAACTCGGTGATTTTTCTCAAAGATTCTGAGGTGATCCTCTGCATTCCATACTCACGCTTGATTTGAGCTTCAGCTCGCGTTTAAATCCATATTGAATCCCTGTACCTCTGTTCCTCTTTGCTGCTGATGACTGGAAGCCTTATTTATGAAGTTGCGGTTCAAAGTAAGAAAATAGACTTCAGAGTGGTGAAAATTAAAGTCCAAGCTACAGATACTAGCAAGTAACAAAAAAAGTTGATGTACTTTGACTGTTGACTTCACTACTATTATAGGCAATCGAAAGCTGAAGCAACAGATCTAAGAAACAATTGTCCATTTCAATTTTTTATGTTGAAGAAGAAAATCATAGAAAATCCTTTGAGCATATTAAAAATTATCTCCCATCGACTACTTCAGACACTGAAACCTCACCGGATGTAAGTATTTAACATCTGATCGTGAAGAAGTGAAGATCGAAGAGACTGACATGGAATCCACAACCACTAAGAATGATCGGAACAAGTCATCTTCAGACAAGAACTAGGTTGATTGAGAAAATTTTGAAACCTCTTTTGTGAATGGTGATAACCTTGATAAAGCAGTTGAGAATATTCAGAAATTCTTTGATTCTGAACCGTTCATCATCTGAGAGGATACGAATATCTGAGGATCAGAATGTATCCTCTAATTATCATTATTTCTTCAATAACCTGAATCATGAGGTTTTGGATTTTGATCAGTGCATGAAATCGACTTAGGAGCATGTCCTCCATTTAGTCAAAGAGAAAAAGGGAAAAGGATAATGGGCTTCTTTATTAATGTTCAATTCATGCATTTCTAAAAACTAGAGAGTGCACATAGTTCACGGGAATTTCCGCCGATTTTTTTTAAACAATATTAATCCACGAAAAATGAGCTCAAAATTGCGTTTTTTATTATTTTTTTTTGGGGGGGGGGGTGGTCACTAAAACTGGCCGCGGCGAACGCCCGTTGGAAAATGGTTACACTCGTTGAGTTGCCTCTGCCGCGTCCCGTAGTCCACACGCGATGCGGCACGATTCATTTAGTCCTTGTGCGGATGTGCGGGCTACAGGACGTGGCACTCGCAACTCGAGGAGTGCAGCCGTTCCCCGACGGGCACTCGCCGCGGCTATTTTTTAGTGACCCACCGATGCGCGGTTGGATGGGAGCTCAAAATACGCAACTTTGCATGAGCTTGTTTTTCGTAGATCAATATTGTAAAAAAAAAAAAAAAAAAAAAAAAAAAAAAAAAAAAATGGGGAAAATTCATGTGAACTATGTGCTTTCAGTAGTTTTCAGAAATGCAGGAATTAAACATTACTAAACAAGGTCATTGGAAATAAACTGATTGTCTACGCAGAGTGCTAAAAGCTGGAGGATAAACATGAGGAAGGTACACAACTGGCAAATTTTAAAGTGACGAAGATTGCGGTTTTCTGGTCAGCGAATCGTGAGGAATAAACGAAGAATTCAAAGTAAAGATAAGCTAAATATTCTTTTTCAATATGAGACTGAATTAATTTTGAAAAGAATAAGTCTTTCACAATAACTTTTACAGTAATTTCTTCCTAGTCTTTGAGTAAATTCAACCTGGAACGTAAATTTTACTTCTTTTTAAAACTTATCACCTCTCTTAGAGACTTACATGGCCAGCTCTTTAACCAAAACAAATCATTTTGATTTTTACTAGGTTTAGGTGTATAGCCTCTTAAGATCTTTCAAGATGAAGTTGATCCAATGATTTTCAAAAGCATGAGGGACACTTAATTCTAGGAACTTTTTAACCGTACCATGTCCAGCACAGTGCAGGTTGACACCTACCCATTCTTTATGAAATCGTACCAAATTTTTCGCATAGTAGCACTCATAATTTCCTCCTGGACTGTGAAATCGCGTCCTAAGACTTCTCTGGCAAATGATTTTCCAAACAGATAAATTAATTCTTCACCATGTCCTAGACCTGTAAAAAAATATTGAATATTTTCATGTGCATCCCCAATAATGGGATTTCTTTTTTCTTCAGCTCCGTAGAGAGTGACCCTAAGGAATAAAAGCAGAACGAACAGTGAAAAGCAAATTAATGGTAAAACACTGGCAAGCCAAATTTTTATCTGTAGAAAAAAGGGGGAGGGGAGGGAGTCATGTTAGTCAGCTTCGAAAGACTAGGCAAACCCTTATGGAAAAAGGAAGGAAAACGAGAACCCATGTGTGAGTTCAAGGATCATTGCATCAATTGTTTTGACTGACTAACTCCAGGATGAATTTATTTATTCATCGTATAGCTTTCATCAATGTCTTTGTCTTTCTCATAGCACCTTAAGTTTTCTGAACTTTCGATTCGATGATATTCAGACTATCAATCATTAGAATTTCACAGGAGCTGTTAAACTTTTTGTGCAAGTGAGCACATGAGTTTTGTATTAATAGGAAGATTTAAACACTTTTGACGTTCTTAGAACGAAATTTTTTGCATTTTAACTGTGACCTAAACTTTTTGACTTACCCATGGTAATGACATGATTGACACATAGTTTCTTAAGAAACGTACGGTTTTTTCCCACTAATAGTAAGTGTATGAACGACATAAAATACACCCCTTTTCTTTCAAAACAGGGTCATTCCACGTCAACTCAACCAGGCTCGGTACCCGACCCCCTCCGATTTGGCTGAAAATTGGTATACGGGGTCTTAACATCATTCTAAGAAACTAATCTGAAGGGTTTTCCCATCCAGGAGGCATATTCCCAAACCCCGCGTTGAATGTGAAATCCAGTTTAGACCCCAACCGCAGCCCATTGTGCGGGTCTGAGACTCCTCCGCAGCGGCCGCGCCGCGGCTCGGCTCAGGCTGGTCCCTCGTCTTTCGAACAAAAAGGTTCAAATTTTGGCTTTTTTCTTTGCAGTGAAAATATTTTTAAAAGTAGAATTTGAGGACTTTTTCGGCAAAATGGCGAATGGAGCTTGCTATGCTGCTATGATTGCGCAAGTTTCATAGCGTTCGCCGCAAATGAAATTCATTCACAATGTACGTCCTTACAATCGCCAGGAAAAACTCGGGGCAGATTCAACGAAAAATTAACAGCAAAACAGTCGGATAGAGAACTACGTTACACAATCTTAGCAGCATGGGACGTCTCATACGCCCTTTTACCGAAAAATGCCTCAATTATGTACAGTGAAAATATTTTTTAATGCAGAAAATTTCGCAATGCAGAGTCATGCCGACACCTTCGTTGATCACATGATGAATAAACTTGACTATGCCTGCCGTTTTGTTCTTTGTAAAAAACATTTCTGATGGAAAATTCTCGGAACATTTTTAGAGCAGTGCAATGCATATGCATCTCACAAGCCTCTTTAATTAGTGAAATTTGCGGAGCTTCTGCACTGGAAAAAAAATTATCATGTAAGAAGAAATATTCTTGAATTTGCCGCTAAAAGGAGATTTCTCTTGACTTAAGCTGCAAAATGCGTACTTTGAGAAGAAAGCCGCTCATATCAAGCAGGATTCGGCATTGTTCAAGTGATCTTATTCTTGATTCAAGAGCAGTATTCTTGACGAAAAATTCAAGTAATTTTTTTTCCTTTCTTTCCTTCAAATATTTCCTTTCTTTCACTTATAGCTCTGCGCAGAACCTTTCACCTTGCTTGAAAGGATAAACAATGAATAGGTGGTGAAGAAGAGTAAAAAAAAGTCTCTGCATTTGCGAGGATGAATATGCACTTGGTGTCTCACCCGAACCAATAAGAGAGATATTAAAACCCCATTAAAGAGGAATAGAAATTTACATGAAAAATAAAAATGTTCCCCAAAAAAGTTCATCATTCAACTTCGTCGTTTAAGAGACTGGACATTAATATTCAATGAATGAAAGCAGAAACCTATAAATACTGAAATTTCAAATAAAAATGATGTTTAAGCAAGGTTGATCAATGTTTTCGGGGTGTTTGGAAACATTGCAATGAATCAAGTCAGGCACGAACATCCCCTGGACACTGATAAATTAGGAGGCAACACGCCGCCTGCATCAATATCATCGATGTTCGTTATTTGAAATCCATTTCGGAAGAGACAGGGTATGACTTGACTCTGACCTGAAAAAATCATCCCAAGTGGATCACGGTTTTTCTTGAACTAGTCGATGGTGCATTTAAAAATGCGCTCATCATAAGACAACTCTGCGAAGGGCTTGTTTTGAGGAGGAAGACGATGTCTTCCAGAAAACAAAAAGAGTGGACCGCGAGGTCACCCCCATTCATTTCGGAGGGTTGAAGAGACTATTCAGACGGGAGAAAGGAGAAAGGATGGCCGCAGTGCCCAAGGCCACTTGCTGAAGAGCCTCATGCCAACCGCGTGAGGGCTCAGAAGGCAGCGGCTAAAGATTTTGAGAACGGGCTAGATTTTTCACATTTCACGCGGGGTTTGGGAATATGCATCCAGGAGACGAAGGGGATACCGAACAAAAGGGTAGCGACATAGGGTTTTAGAAGGAATGAGGGTATGTGAACTCCCTGAAAGACTATTCGAGGATCGGGAGCCATTAAAGAGCCAAAATCGGCCGCCATTTTGGATTTTGTGCATTTCCGTGGGTCGAGGGGTCTCGATTAGTGTGTTCCTGAACACTCTAATCAGAATGACTGCCGAGTTCGGCCTTTGCATGGTCCAAATCAGTACCATTTGGCATGAAATGTTTTTTTCTCCTATTTTTTTGGAATCTGTGACCTCGGAACCGGAAATCTAGAGTGTTTACTCCTCTCTTTGCTCCGTATTTGACGTTTTAGCCACTAAAGAGCCAAAATCGGCCGCCATCTTGGATTTTGGGCAATTCCGTGGGTCGAGGGGTCTGTATGACAATTTTTTGGAATCTACGATCCAAAAAACATGAGAATCGACACCTCTCTCGACGTTTTGTGCCGTTTTACCAACATTTCAATTTCAGCCTCCATTTTGGCCGCCATCTTGTTTTCAGGGCCTTGGCATCAAAATCGGAGAGTCTACCAAAGATTTTCTCATTCTAGGGAACAAAATGAAGAGAGTAAACTTGCATCATAAACGTGCAAACGGGACGTAATTTTCGAACACATGCTTCCCTGACCATGCAATAATCGCCTTTTCCCGTCATTTTTGAGCATTTCCGGCCGGTTTTCATTTCCGTTTAGATCCGTGCCCCATCGATGCACACGTTAGTAAGTGTTTATTACCCGAAAGTATATATCCTGAGGTTGAAATAGAGAGAGAAAATTGGAAATTGCAGTTAAAATCCATGGAATACATCGGTTACGGTGTATTTCGAGGATTTTCGGTCGGTTTCCGATTTCCATCAGGCCGTTAATCGATCGGTGAATGCATGGAAAGCGTTGATAGTCTGGTTTTATACATCTAAGAGGGTAAACTGGGGGAAAATATCGATAATTGAAGTGTTTATATTATCGAAATATTTGGATTAACATGTAAAAAATCGTCCTTTTTTTTTTTTACCAATTTTTGACCTTTTTGGGCCCATTTGAATTTTTTTAGGCCCTGAACCGTCCGATAGCAAATGAAAAAAGTATTCAGCCAAAAGTACATATCTTAAGCTTGAAGTGTTAAAAAAAAGAACGAAAATCAGAGAGACTGTAATTGTATTTTGGATAATTTAGTGTGAACATTGAACGGCGAAAAAATCGTAAATTTTAAAAAATCCTAAATTACGGACATTTAACTAATTTTTAGTTCAATTTCGATGGCATATTCAGAATTTACATAAAAAAATGATCTAGGGACACTCTTTCAAAGTATTATGGATTGATACAGAGTCTCGCTATGGAGAGTCAAAGAGCGGGAAGTCGAGAAAACGAGAATCGCTAAAACGGGCTTTTTTGAATATCGCTAAAATTCACCCCATCTTTGGGGGTCGATATCTCGCGAATGGAGCGTTGGATGAGAAAACCCTTCAGATTAGTTTCTTAGAATGATGTAAAGACCCCGTATACCAATTTTCAGCCAAATCGGAGGGGGTCGGGTACCGAGCCTGGTTGAGTTGACGTGGAATGACCCAACAGAGACACAAAAAGTTCTGACGCTTCTCCATGTGATAGAGTCTGCTTGGCCGCGATCTTTGTAGAGATTTATAAATCATCATGAAAAGCAGAGACAAAGTGAAAAAATGAATGAGAAATGTGAGAAGTGTGTGATTGTGAGAATTCGAAACTGGACATGCTGACCTAGAGTAAACCGTGATGACCACTAGGCCAACCTGCCCTCAGTATTCCAAGTTACTCGAATTACTCTTCCGACAGCCATTTTGGTAAAAGAAAAATGATTTGGTATGTCGATATTTCCATCTGAAAATTTACTTCTAATTCCTTCATAGGGAGATAAGTATAGAGATGAGAGAGCAAATAGAGTGCAGTTGCATTGCGGATATACTCCTGTGTGCAGCTGATTTAAAAACGTTTCAATGATTCATCATTCTCTTCGTTTTGACTTCCAGAATCCAATTTTTGATGTTGTCCCGTTTAAAAATGACCCTGGTGCCCCCGGCGCCACACACGGGAGCTTTAATCTTGGTTTATGCGGCACCGACGGTCGGTGGCGCGGCGCGAGATTCGTGGCGTAGATAAAACAAACCGCCACAGCTGGCCGCGAAGCTCCCATATCTATTCAGTGCATCTCACAGTGATTACAGTGACTTGATACCTAGTGTGTCACTCATTGATGGCCGAGGCCCACGGCCCACGGACCCGATCGGGAATTCCAGCCTTTTTCCGCCCCGCGACTCTACATCCTGCATTACAAACACCAACTTAACATACTCCTACGAGAAAATCTCCAGCACAAATGGAAATCTCACAGGGAAAAAGTATCCCAGTATTCACCCCTAACGACGACGGTCAAAATCCAGATCTCGAACTTCGAAATCGGTTTGCATCTCTCCCTGAGGAAACTTTTGATGGTGAAATGAAATCTCAATCTGTGCTCCCCCCCCCCTTTGTCTTAAAGTGAATCGCGACCTCAGGCACACCCTTGACAATTTTACAGACTTCTTCGTTAAAGCCATGTTTACCGACTACACATTTAAACTCGTGAATCAATTTCTTGTTAAAGTTCAATTTACACACGGAGAAGACTTTAAAAAGCTTATTGAATACCTCACTCAATTTCGAGTACAGTTTTCTACATATCAACTACCATCTGAACGTGCCTATCGAACAGTTCTACGTGGTCTACCTGCGGAAACATCCCACCAGGATATCATCCAGTTCTTATCTGACTATGGTCATAAAGTGAGACGTATCGCCAATATATGTAATCGGGAAACAAAGTGTCCACTTCCACCGTTTAATGTAGATATAGAACCCGCTCCCATTAACGAATTCATTTTACAAATTAAGTCTTCTACTGCTAATAACTTTCATTTTAGAATTACCTTTGAAAGACTCCGTCCCTCTGAAAATATCATTCAATGTACTACGAGTAAATGTCAACGATACGGACATTCTCGTAATTACAGTGGTTTATCACCCCGCTGTGTACGCTGTGGAGATTCGCATTCTTCTGATTCATGTACTGAACCCACTCAAACTCCCCTCAAGTGTATCCCGTGTGGCGAAATAGGACA